AACACAGCTGAACTAATTCAAAACAACCAACGAAATCCGATTAAAGAAACTAAACAAAAATACCTCAGCTATTCCATCCATGCTATACTGTGTATGGTTCATTAAATGAGTAAAATCAAGATCACCCATGGTAAAGGATTGATTCCCAGAATTAACACCAGAAAAACTATAAGAACTCGAACCAGTGGAAGGACGAGTGCCGTAAAACCGGGGCCCACCGATACTAAGAGATGTATTATGATTCCTTCCGTTTTGCTGGTAAGAAGAAGAAGAAGAAAGTCTGGGCCGGCCACTGTTCACATTGACTGCCCTTCTTGTGGCGCTTTGGCTATCACCAGAGGCAGAATTGCTACTTCCAGAGCCGGAGATGGAGATACCACCGGCCGAGGGGTATAAACGTCCATTTTCCCTTCCTCGACGAGAAAAACTGCTCTCGGCATCGATATTTTTATTCTTCATCACCTTTTTGCTACTGCTACCATTAATACTACTACTACTATTATCATCATTATTACTAGTAATATTACTACTTTTGTTGCTATTATAAAGTGTCCTTATGCCGGAGCTTTTGGAATTAAAAGGAACAGAAATTGCCAACCGAGTAGTGTGTTGGTTGTTTGGCTCGTTTTTATGATGAAACACTTTTCGAGGTCTAATCTCACCGGAACTCTCGTTTTTTGATGCGAAACAATGATGCCTTGATACATTCTTACTCGAGGAAGAATGTTCCGACTCACCGGATTGACCACTACTTCCCGAGGGGTTGACTTCCGATCGGGAAAATGTTTTCCTCTTTGAATCAAGAAGCAAACTTTTTGACTTAGATACTCCCATCCCATCCCCACTTGAAGAGGGAAAGGATGGTTTTGTAGACAATTTGGCTTTTTCCGAGCTTCCGATTCTCGGGTTCAGACCGGCATATTTGACTCTTCCATTACATCCTATCCGGTTGCAAAATCGGGCTTCTTTGTCTGACCCGTTTGATGTATTTTGTCCTTTTCTGAGCATCATATATTCCTGCAAATAAGATGAATAATCCGAATCCACCAAATGAAAAAGAAGAAACCGAATACATTTAAAGTATAAAAAACGCCCGTAAATATCATATAAATATTGAGATGCACGAGTATCATAAGTTGCGAGGAATAACTCAACATATATATCGACTGAATTAGAAAAATTATCACAAAAATGAAGCTAAATATTTAAATCTTCGAAAGGGAGTCACGTGTTGATAATAAGACGGCGAGTAAGAAAATTTATATGCAGAAACAAGATTCACACACCGATCAAATGGTAAGCTTATCATCGTAAGTCGTAACCGTCGAGCATATATAGAAAGTAGAAACACGGTTTCAGATATAAAACTAGAGGACTTATCATCATAATTTAAGAACAACAGATGGAGCAAAAACACATGAAAGAATAAAACAAAAAAAGCAGAAAGAGAACAATTCTATATGGAGAAAGAAAAAGATTACATAGCCCATTAGAATAGCCAACTAACTAACATCCAAACCTCATAAAAGCTTAGTTTCCTTCATTTTTGGTTAATTCAGAAATTCTTAAAAATATGTTGGTTGATTGCTTCATACTCTTTAGGAAAGAATCACTTTATCAGAATCCAAAGTCACCCAAAAGTTCAAGCAAAGATGACTCTATGCACTCTTGCATAACAAACAATCCAACTATATTAAAATCAACAGTAAAGGGTGTTAAAATCAACAGACAAACAAGGAAACATGTCAAATACATAATCAAGGAGAATCAAAGAAAAAAAAAAGGCAAGATTTTGACAAATAAAAACAGTTTTTTCAATTAACAGTAAAGGGTGTCAATCAAGATTACACAACTTCACCAACCTTTGCTCTAATCAACACACACACACACACACACACACACACACACACACACACACACACAC